ATTCACTCAAAGGTAAACTATCCATTCACTCAAAGGTAAACTATCCATCCACTCAAAGGTAAACCATCTATCTACTCAAGGGTAAACTATCCATTCACTCAAAGGTAAACTATCCATCCATTCACTCAAAGGTAAACTATCCATTCACTCAAAGGTAAACTATCCATCCACTCAAAGGTAAGCTATCCATCCACTCAAAGGTAAGCTATCCATTCACTCAAAGGTAAACTATCCATTCACTCAAAGGTAAGCTATCCATTCACTCAAAGGTAAACCATCCATTCACTCAAAGGTAAACTATCCATTCACTCAAAGGTAAACTATCCATTCACTCAAAGGTAAACTATCCATCCACTCAAAGGTAAGCTATCCATTCACTCAAAGGTAAACTATCCATCCACTCAAAGGTAAACTATCCATCCACTCAAAGGTAAAATCCATCTATCTACTCAAGGGTAAACTATCCATGCACTCAAAGGTAAACTATCCATCCACTCAAAGGTAAACCATCCATCCATAAACTATCCATCCACCACTCAAAGGTCTATCCATCCACTCAAAGGTCCATCCACTATCCATCCACTCAAAGGTATCTATCTACCATCTATCATGCACTCAAAGGTAAACTATCCATCCACTCAAAGGTAAGCTATCTATCTACTCAAAGGTAAACTATCCATCCACTCAAAGATAAACCATCTATCTGCTCAAAGGTAAACTATCCATCCACTCAAAGGTAAGCTATCTATCTACTCAAAGGTAAACTATCCATCCACTCAAAGGTAAACTATCCATCCATCCACTCAAAGGTAACCCATCCATCTATCCACTCAAAGGTAAACGATCCATCCACCCACTAACCTAACCATCCAGCCTACAATCTATCTAACCATCCAGCCAACAATCTATCTAACCATCCACCTATCAATGGATCTAACCAGCCAACAACCCTTCCGCTATTCCCCCCACCAACTGACCAATCCGCCAATCTGTCTCACGTCAGTTTCAGTGTCCAATTACTTTGAGGGTATACTTTATTATCCCAAACTGTATATGCATATTACAAATGAAACTGTAATGTACTAATGGTGCAAACAGAACTATGGTGATGTAGACAAGTGAAGACCATAATCTGCAGTGACAGCATATTTAAGATGATATCGATTGAAGGGCGTGGCAGCTAGCTGACTGGGGAGAGTTAGTGTACGGGACAGCATGATGTAACTGGAGAATAAGTGTATTGATCTTTACCATGCTGTATTGTTAACTTATCATCTTTCATATATGGTTACTTCCACAGGGGATGTGCTTTAGCAACCAAAGACCCACAACACAAGGACAAACAAAGTTACCTGTTAGCATAAATTGTGAACAGTCTCATGACCATGTCATCCCTCTGGGTACCCATTCACTGCTCGGTGAACAAAGTCATCCAAGGAGACTAATAGAAGTACTTTAAAAGTAATCTTGCTTTTCAATGTATGAAGCCCATTTCCGGTGTCCCGGCCACTGTGATATTGCTGGAATGTTGCTAAAAGCGGTGTGAAACCACTCACTCACTCACTAATCTTGCTTCAACTTTCCCTGGTCTGTGTGAAGTACATGATGTCCTGACCCAGTATCTCTGTAACGCTGTAGTGTTAGATGGCAGCATGGTGCAGGTGTTAGGAACCAGGGCATGACTAAACCGTGGTTCTCATTCATTCATCAAGTCTTTCAGAGCATGATGTCCACAACATGGTGTCCATTTAAAATGTGATATAGCCACAAACAGATTATTCTCGCATGACAAATGTAATAACTTTATTCATATTGCTGTCTGCATTTTTTATGTGCTTTGTCCAGTGAAAGGCTAAGCATTAGATATGAACATCTGTGAACAGACAGGCATCGTGTATGAACATCTGTGAACAGAAAGACGTCTTTTAGAACATATGGTCGTCATAATTGACACATTTCATGTATACCACACACAGAAGTCGAAGAACAGCAATTGTTTTAAAACATAGCTATGACAGATTAAGTGTAGTTCCTTAATATCTTTTGAGTAGTATATATCTGCAGCATCATCTGTGGTGAATGTGTTAAACTATTAACAAGTTCCCGTTGGATGGGTTCAAGATGTTATCTGCTTCTCCGTTAGAACATCAAGATAAGGTGATACAACATAACACTGGTTGCCATCGTTTGAAAAGAGTCCTTATTTTCTTTGGCGAAGTTTAAATCAAACTGCGCTATCAAGCTGTAGAAGTTTGCTCAAACTGCACTAAAATGGGAACAATCTGATATTCATAAAGTCGCAGCATAAAGGCTTGATTGATGTTGACATAGCAGACTTTATGACTTTATGCTAATGACACCTGTCCCATGTTCTGTGTGTGATTTGATGCCATTGAAGCGCTTCATGGCGTGAGAGACACACATCACACGGATCAGCGATCTGTGACTCTCGCTGTATTGTCCAATTACTTAGAGAGAGTTGCTCACCTGTGTGATTTATGAAGGTCAAGGCTGGTATATTCTGACCATAAAAAAAAGGGTACTTATGAATTCTTTTGAAAAGGAATATAGAGGGGCCCTTGTTCTCCCGTAGTCCTAGCTGCAGTTAGTGAGGGAAGGGGACAGGTCTCACATCATGCTAGCATCCTTCTTGAAGCACAGAATATTACACTATATACATGTTTATATAGAGTTAGTGAGGGAAGGGGACAGGTCTCACATCATGCTAGCATCCTTCTTGAAGCACAGAATATTACACTATATACATGTTTATATAGAGTTAGTGAGGGTTCAAGGGGACAAGGTCTCACATCATGCTAGCATCCCCTTCTTGAAGCACAGAATATTCGACACTATATACATGTTTATATAGAGTTAGTGAGGAAGGGGACAGGTCTGGGCTACATCATGCTAGCATCCTTCTTGAAGCACAGAATATTACACTATATACATCTTGAAGCACAGAATATTACACTATATACATGTTTATATAGAGTTAGTGAGGGAAGGGGACAGGTCTCACATCATGCTAGCATCCTTCTTGAAGCACAGAATATTACACTATATACATGTTTATATAGAGTTAGTGAGGGAAGGGGACAGGTCTCACATCATGCTAGCATCCTTCTTGAAGCACAGAATATTACACTATATACATGTTTATATAGAGTTAGTGAGGGAAGGGGACAGGTCTCACATCATGCTAGCATCCTTCTTGAAGCACAGAATATTACACTATATACATGTTTATATAGAGTTAGTGAGGGAAGGGGACAGGTCTCACATCATGCTAGCATCCTTCTTGAAGCACAGAATATTACACTATATACATGTTTATATAGAGTTAGTGAGGGAAGGGGACAGGTCTCACATCATGCTAGCATCCTTCTTGAAGCACAGAATATTACACTATATACATGTTTATATAGAGTTAGTGAGGGAAGGGGACACAGGTCTCAGTGGGCTAGCACTATAAAACCAGCTTCAGCATCTGTGAAGCATATAGAGCTGCAAGCTTGAAGCACAGAATATTACACTATATACATGTTTATATAGAGTTAGTGAGGGAAGGGGACAGGTCTCACATCATGCTAGCATCCTTCTTGAAGCACAGAATATTACACTATATACATGTTTATATAGAGTTAGTGAGGGAAGGGGACAGGTCTCACATCATGCTAGCATCCTTCTTGAAGCACAGAATATTACACTATATACATGTTTATATAGAGTTAGTGAGGGAAGGGGACAGGTCTCTAGCATCATGCTAGCATCCTTCTTGAAGCACAGAATATTACACTATATACATGTTTATATAGAGTTAGTGAGGGAAGGGGACAGGTCTCACATCATGCTAGCATCCTTCTTGAAGCACAGAATATTACACTATATACATGTTTATATAGAGTTAGTGAGGGAAGGGGACAGGTCTCAGCATCATGCTAGCATCCTTCTTGAAGCACAGAATATTACACTATATACATGTTTATATAGAGTTAGTGAGGGAAGGGGACAGGTCTCACATCATGCTAGCATCCTTCTTGAAGCACATGAATACAGAATATTACACTATATACATGTTTATATAGAGTTAGTGAGGGGAGGGGGGGGACAGGTCTCAGGGGACATCATGCTAGCATCCTTCTTGAAGCACAGAATATTACACTATATACATGTTTATATAGAGTTAGTGAGGGAAGGGACAGGTCTCACATCATGCTAGCATCCTTCTTGAAGCACAGAATATTACACTATATACATGTTTATATAGAGTTAGTGAGGGAAGGGGACAGGTCTCACATCATGCTAGCATCCTTCTTGAAGCACAGAATATTACACTATATACATGTTTATATAGAGTTAGTGAGGGAAGGGGACAGGTCTCACATCATGCTAGCATCCTTCTTGAAAGCACAGAATATTACACTATATACATGTTTATATAGAGTTAGTGAGGGAAGGGACAGTTCTCACATCATGCTAGCATCCTTCTTGAAGCACAGAATATTACACTATATACATGTTTATATAGAGTTAGTGAGGGAAGGGGACAGGTCTCACATCATGCTAGCATCCTTCTTGAAGCACAGAATATTACACTATATACATGTTTATATAGAGTTAGTGAGGGAAGGGGACAGGCCTCACATCATGCTAGCATCCTTCTTGAAGCACAGAATATTACACTATATATACATGTTTATATAGAGTTAGTGAGGGAGTGCTGGTCAATGCTATGGTCAGCTCTGTTCTTGTATTTACTGCCATGGCAGACAAGTGACTGATAACATGAGCACCATATACATTGCTCGGATAAGATAACAGACATTAAACCAGGCTAAACATGTTGTAACATTCTCCCAGATGTATTGCAATATCGTATATCATGGTGGTAATTGTATCCTGATTTCACATGATTTTCACATAAAGCTAGATCATGATTCTTATGTTGAAACGTTATCAAGGCTTTCCATTATTTGAATGTGTGTTTCCTGTTTCAGGTTGCAGGAATTGTGGGAAGGGCAGAACTGTTGGCAGCTGTTTTCTTCCTTCTGGCTCTCATCTGTTATGTCAAGTAAGTAGCTGGTTGTAACAGAGATATCTCATCTGTTACCTCATGTGAATAGCTGGTTGTAACAGATATATCTCATCTGTTACCTCAAGTGAAAAGCTGGTTGTAACAGATATCTCATCTGTTCCATCACGTGAATAGGTGGTTGTGACAGATATCACATCTGTTACCTTATGTGAATAGCTGGTTGTGACAGATATCTCATCTGTTCCATCACGTGAATAGGTGGTTGTGACAGATATCTCATCTGTTTATGTGAATAGGTGGTTGTAACAGAGATATCTCATCTGTACCATCAAGTGAAAAGCTGGTTGTAACACAGATATCTCATCTGTACCATCAAGTGAAAAGCTGGTTGTGACAGAGATATCTCATCTGTACCATCAAGTGAATAGCTGGTTGTGACAGATATCTCATCTGTTACCTCAAGTGAATAGCTGGTTGTAACACAGATATCTCATCTGTTACCTCAAGTGAAAAGCTGGTTGTAACAGAGATATCTTATCTGTTCCATCAAGTGAAAAGCTGGTTGTGACAGATATCTCATCTGTTACCTCAAGTGAATAGCTGGTTGTGACAGATATCTCATCTGTTACCTCAAGTGAATAGCTGGTTGTAACAGAGATATCTCATCTGTTACCGTTAATTTGTGAATGAAAGACAAGCCTCCATGTGGCAGGTCTGCCTGATGAGGGGGAGGGGGGGGGAGGAAGGTAAGTCAACGTAGACAAGGAGCCATTGTGCTTCAACAATAGATGGTTAGAAGAAGATCAAACACAGCAGGTGAGGAGGGTCGTACCTGTATACATCCTCCTCACACCCAGGGGGTAGAGTTTCCTCCATAAACTCTATGTCATGTCAGAAGTTAATGAAATATCGCACCCGTATGTCACGCAAACATAAGGTCTGCCAGTTGAAGGCTATCGAGTAAATATCTTGCTCATTTTAACCCAATTCTGTAACCGGAATGTGATCAAGGTGCTAAGAGGGTTTCTCTGTTGGGTTTGTTTGTTTAGGGCCCAGGGACATGAGTGAGAATTGGTGTGGCTTGTTCACGTGTTTGAAGGCCACATGGTCATTGTCTGGACATGCTGGCTATCTCTAGGGGTCAAGTGCTGACCCCTTTCAATACATCCAGGAGTCCCCTATAGAGCACATATCAGGCCCTCTTTCAAATACATCTCAGAGCAACACAGAACTACATCTTGAGTGACCTTTACATACATATCAGACGCTTCCTAAGCTCAGCTACAGAGCTACCTCAAAAATATGTCAGATCCTTCTTCCACTACAATGCCAAAGCTACATTCAAATACATATGAGAACCTCCTTTAAGTACATATCAGAACCTCCTTTAAGTACATATCAGAACCTCCTTTAAATACATATCAGAACCTCCTTTAAATACATGTCAGAACCTCCTTTAAATACATATCAGAACCTCCTTTAAATACATATCAGAACCTCCTTTAAATACATATCAGAACCTCCTTTAAATACATATCAGTACATATCAGAACCTCCTTTAAATACATATCAGAACCTCCTTTAAATACATATCAGCCACATTTTTCACTGATATATTTTTTTCAAGTTTTACATCTGCCATGATCTTAGTGTGTGTACAATTTTAAATTGTAGATATTACTGATTAATTGAGCTGAATTAGTGAAGTAATTGTATTTCCATTGTATGCCTGAGAATAATTCTGACAGGTATGTCATGATGAGGACCTCCCAAGAGTGGGACAATGTTTAACTCCATCGCACACAACTTATATACATGGTTGATACCAGTGCTGTTAGCAGTGACCATAATGCACCTGTGTCTTACATCAAGGAAAAGCCACAAGCCTCACCCACCTGTGAGCTGAACTTCCTGTCGAACAGCATTAACGTCACACATATATAACTGTCATCATCATTATCTTGTGTCAAACTTGCCGGTGGCTATTGTCTTGTACAATCACCTGATGTCTCGATGCCCCAGCTGCAAGGTTAGATCAGGGAAATATCTGAGTCTGAAAACTCCTGATAGCAATTTTTATCTTATTTGTCACAAATTCAAAATAACTGAGAAATTATAGTCTTACTTTAATGATTGTTTGTGAGAAATCTTTCCAGGAGACATTAAGACTAACAATTATGATATCATAATTGAATTTTATGTTTAAGAACAAATACCCGGTATATGGATTAAGTTCAATTGTCAGTCTGTAATAAGTCATCAGCATTTTTCTGAAATCTGATGGATATTTTATACAAACACTGCATATTTCACCGGTAAGCCGCAGTTCCCTCAACTCTCAGAGTGACATTACCACTTTGCAAGTTCAGTCTGTGGCGTCAATGGAAATCACTCAATCCTCCGACACACTACGCCAGGGAGACTACGTTCCCCCATGACTAGACTTTCTGTTGATACCCGAGTCAATACGATATCCAGCCTGGTATACTGACCCATTCAGGACATACACTGAGCCCGGGGTTCAATAACACGTCCATAAACATGCACACTATGGCCAGATTACGGCCAGAATGGGGGTGTTTATGTGTACACTCAATAGTGATTACCATCATCACTGAAATCATAATGTAACTGTGACAACTGCACTTAGGATTACAAGTCGAGGTGAAGTCGTGTTTGATTACCAGGAAGTCATTGAGTTTGTCTGAGTAGTGGCACAGTTCTGTGTTAACCTCTGGGAGTTACAGACAGCTTCATTTAACTGAACAATCTTATTGTAATTGTACTGTAATATAAGTCTTTGTGTAAGTATGGGAGGTTACTTAAAGAACAGTATTCTATTGAGCAGACCCAGAGCTGGGACTAATGTGAATCTGTCTTAAAGCTCAAACAGGGCCATGTTCACTAAACAATCTTAGCGTAATGGACATAAGTCTGTGTTTAAGTCAAAAAGTCACACAGGGCCTCATGCTACTAAACAATGTTGGGCTTGTGGCTATTGTAAGTCTGTGTTAAACAGGGTGTTGTTCTAACAAGTAGGCTTTGTCTATAAGGAGGTAGGAGCGAAAACAGTTATCTCAGTGTAATGAGATTGTAACTTTGTGTTAATGTTGTCTATTTGTAGCATGCAAGAGCTGAATACTTTTAGAATATGCACGGAAAGAGTATCGTAGCAAGAACTAGAAAATTAAAAACAGATACAATACAGAAATTTTATATATTCATTCGAAAGTTCTGTGCAGCGTGACGGCATGCCAGATGCAAAATCATGGAAACGACATAGGCAATTATCAGCATTTCTGACTTTTTCAATGGAAGCAATAAAAACAACTAACCATACGCAGATAGTCAGAATGTTTCCGATTACTTACATCATACATTTATGGACAAAGGTTCCTTCGCAAAATCGTGGGCACCCATATCCACAAAGCCGCCATTTCATGAGAAATCGGTCATCGGTAGTGAGGTCATACGTCAACATTGTTGGACATATTTGGCAATTTCTTTGAGGTGAAGGTCGGTTGAATAAGATTAAACACAATCACACTGTCCTGCAGATTACACTTTTAGTATTAATGTATACTTTGCATATTGTTCAAATATGTTTCATGAAACTAATTTCATTATCAACATTTAGTATTTTAAACCTAAGTAAAACTGATATAATAAATAAAAGTGATTTATTTATTTCATGAAATGTGTATATGCACACGTTTTTAAAGGATATATATGTCTTGTTTATTGAATTTGTTTATGTTGTGTTATAGACAAAATAATGGCGTATAATCATTGGCCAGGTGCGCGTTTGTCACGAATGTTTTGAGTATCATTGTTTTCGATAATTCCGTGAACAAAACACCACGAAAATATAGTGTCCTTATTCACAGCAAATTCTCTCCAAATGATTTGAGTTACAATGACTTATTGTTAAGCATAGCGGAGTAATGCCCCCTTATCTTTATAAGAGTATGACCTTTATACAGAGGCCCAGATAAGCTGCGTATCCGAGTAATATATGCATAGAAAATTCCCATTTACGCATTGAAAAATAATTGTTGTGAACCAATTACGCATTTAAAATGTTAGATACGCAAAAAGTTTAAAACAAATGCGTACGGAATATATTTATAGAAATCGCTTGCGTAATGAAAATTACATCAATTGCTATTGTGTTGTACTGTTAGTATAGGATGAGTGATTTCCATTATATTTAAGTTGGTTTTGATTAGGTATGACATAAGGCAGAACATACCTACTTAGTAAACTTACTCAATGACATAATACTTAGGTGAGTAAAATGACTGAAATACGCACATATTTAAAAGCAGTGGGTAACGGAAATTGAAATACCCACTCAAAATTCATAATACCCACTCCAAAAAGTACAGTGGGTACAGTACCCACATGAGCTAAATCTTATCTGGAGCTCTGTTTATATAGTCATTTGATGTCATAGGGGCAAATCCATTTTCAACACATATTGCGAGTCATTTTTAAGATTGAGTGTATAACGTTATACATAAGCACACAAAGTAATTTAATACATACCTATGTCGTTCAGGTATCAGGCAGAATTTTCACACTTTCCGTAAAGATGACAAATTTAAAATATAGTAGCACAGTACTTTTATCAGTGCATGATAAAAAGCAGAGAAATTTACTGTTTTTAACGCATACCAAATTTAGGGGTAACATTTAGCAGTGTCTACTTTTCAAACTGAGTTTATACCATGAGATAGGACATGTAATACTCTACATTTCTGTTTAATTTTATAGCTGTAGGTAGATCCAGTGCTGCGCAAACAAAATTCTGGCGTACTGTTCACTTTTCCAAGAAGTTTAATGACGCTCTAATGATACCCCAGGACCTTCATTAAGTTAATGACGCGCTAATGACAAAACAACACAAGTAAAACGTTAGTACAACAGAATTTAATGACACATTACTTAATGAACGTTTAATGTCACGTTAATGCTTTATTAAAGTTTGATACAACCGGGTCCTGGACTCTATATGTCAGGTTCTATATGTATGGTTACAATACACATGGTACTATGATGACTCGTTGTGGAATGTGTCCCAGCGAGGGTTCCTGATAAGGTGAGGTACATTATCTGTAAGGTGGGTGAGGAGTTGTGAGTGTTTCAGGGCAACCTCCCCTGCCTTTATTTATCACTTTAATATTGATGTTCAGTTTTGTTTGACAAGACACAAGACCAGACCCTCAAGGCAACATATGAATGCTTCTAAAGAAAGTTAATTTCTTCCTATGCTGGCACTGTGGAATTGAAATATATCACTTGGGGCACCTGACCGTCTCATCTGAGGGTTTTGAGTGTGTAAGGTTTTATGCCACTTTTAGCAATATTCCAACAATATCATGACTGGGGACACAATTTTATGCTGCCTTCAGCATTATTTCAACAATATAATGATTAGGGTAACCAGATATGGGCTTCACACATTGTACCCATGTAAAGATTTGAACCCAGGTCTTTCTTTGGATGTGCAAATGCTACCCAACCACCCTGCAAGTAACAGAGATGTTGTACCCATGTAGGGATTTGAACCCACTCCTTTGTTGGGATGCCAAATGGTTTACCCACTAAGCTACCCAACCACCCTGCAAGTACAGAGATGTTGTACCCATGTAGGGATTTGAACCCACTCCTTTGTTGGGATGCCAAATGGTTTACCCACTAAGCTACCCAACCACCCTGAAGGAACATAGATGTTGTACCCATGTAGGGATTTGAACCCACTCCTTTGTTGGGATGCCAAATGGTTTACCCACTAAGCTACCCAACCACCCTGCAAGTACAGAGATGTTGTACCCATGTAGGGATTTGAACCCACTCCTTTGTTGGGATGCCAAATGGTTTACCCACTAAGCTACCCAACCACCCTCCAAGTACAGAGATGTTGTACCCATGTAGGGATTTGAACCCACTCCTTTGTTGGGATGCCAAATGGTTTACCCACTAAGCTACCCTGAACCACCCTGAAGGAACATAGAGGTTGCTGCTCCTGTACCTTGAGTGTAATGTTACACCCCATTGACATCACCTTCAATGACAGACAGGCTTCCTCTGGCTGCTTCGTGCCATGGCCTTCATGGTGTCAGCGGGAAAGTAACAAAATGCTGGTCAAGGGTGCTGCTACCTGCTGTGCAGGATCTGCTGATTTCTGGTTCGAGTCTCAGCTCATTTGGTCCACAAGCACCCACACCATGCTGTCACTGTTATACCAAACTCACAGCACTCTATATAGCCTTACTAACTGTGAGATATACCTCACAGCACAGACTCTATATAGCCTTACTAGCTGTGAGATATACCTCACAGCACAGACTCTATATAGCCTTACTAACTGTGAGATATACCTTACAGCACAGACTCTATATAGCCTTACTAACTGTGAGATATACCTCACAGCACAGACTCTATATAGCCTTACTAGCTGTGAGATATACCTCACAGCACAGACTCTATATAGCCTTACTAACTGTGAGATATACCTCACAGCACAGACTCTATATAGCCTTACTAGCTGTGAGATATACCTCACAGCACAGACTCTATATAGCCTTACTAACTGTGAGATATACCTCACAGCACAGACTCTATATAGCCTTACTAACTGTGAGATATAGAGAGTGAGTAATTCATTGTTGAATGGGATCACAAAGACTATTATCAATCAATCTTCCATGTAAGGCTACGTTTGACATACCAGTATTTATCATCCGTGACAGCTATTGTGGATTACTGTATCTACAGCTGTTTGAAGTTGTCCAGTAACATGTACATGGTTCTGTAATGAACACCACCTATAGGAAATCCATTCCATCAACAACATCATGTGTTTAATGCCCAGATTAACCTGCCCTGCATGTAGCTGTGTGTCCCCTCAGGTGGAATACAGAGTTATACACCAGGCATGTACTGATACAATGATTGGTGACTGCCACCTGCAGTGTACAACATTGTAACAAGCTCTTGCCACTCTGTTCCCTGTAATTACTGTGTGGACAGTTTCAAGTAGCCACTACAGAGGGTCAGATACAGGGTATCACAATATGGGGTGTTTGGAGAGGGCTATCGGGCCATGATCAGAGAAAGTGTTATGTCATATACCTGTTTACACACTGTGGGTATATCCCAGCTGTCAAGTACGGCCATGCTGTAAGAACAACAGTGGAGACCTCCATGATAATGAATAGGGTGTGCAAGCAGACTTCCAATGCAGTCTAGTGCCTGTTAAAGTACTACCTGAGAACAGGGGTTCATTATACTTATGTCAGCCAGATGAACAGGGTTTTTCAACCTCTTATGAACATTATCTCAGCCATTGGTGAAGATGAACAAATAGAACAGGGTAGCCATGATTAACAGGGTGGCCATTATTAGTATGGTGAAGGAAACATGCTGTCAGGTTTTGTAATGCAGACATTACAGAGATCAATTCACAAGGGTTTTCACATAGACTCCTGGCTTAAAACAGACTAACCACTATGTTACGGCATTGTGTATTCATATGATGTGGTTGTTGTAAATAACTGATCCTGAACCAGACAATCCAGTGATTGATGTTATGAACAGTTATCCCAGGGTATGTCATGTGATCAGCCAAGTCACTGAGTCTAACCACACAATGTTATGTCAACACTTGAGTGTAAGCTACATCCAGCAGAGTTGGTGGGGACAATTCTTACCAGGAATTAGATATTAGATACACCTGCCAATGCGGTGATGTTCGATCAAAGTATGCCTTGCATCATGGTTGGCATCTATAGAATCTTCATGCAACTGAACAATTCACCATGTTTATAATGTGCATTGTCAATGACAGGATCACACTTAATGTTGAAAGGTACCACAAATATAAATGTGTTGGCTCAACCATTCCAACAACTGTTGGTGAGTGTCTCTTAGCTGCAGTTATCCCAAGCAAAAATATTAATGAAAGATGGCTGTGGTGGGGACACTGTAAATGTAGTCACAAACCAGAGGCCATGTGATATTTTATAGTCCCTGTACAAATTAGATCAATGACATAGTTATGAATACACAATGCCATTTAGAAAGTGGTCAAATGTAACATGTGTTATATTTGGGATTACACTTTCTTTGTAAAGTACCGATTCTAGTACTTTTTGGGTTGAGTCCCATCCGGGATTCAAACCACACCCCTCAGAATCAGGCACCAAATCGCCAACACACAAAGGCAGACACCTAACCCGCTCAGCCACTGCAACTTCCACAAAAATGAAAGTCGGACAACTGGTAGTCTAGACTGCAGACTTTGTGTACCCATCTGAAAAGTGTAAATTGGCACAACTGGTAGTTGTCCGACTATGATGATAGTTAATTACATCTAACACGTTTTGATGTACAAATATTCCATGACTTTTTAAGCATGTTGATGACATGGAATTACGAAATATATTTTTGTTTCTTAATTTTTCAGATCAATCGATGTAAAGCATAACTACGAAACTCCTGATTTCCCAGTTACCCAGCATCCTGTGCTGCTGGTTGCCATGGTGATATGTACAGTGGCAGCCATGTTGTTCAAGGAACATGGAGTGACAGTGATTGGTGTGTGTGGCTTGCTGGATGTAACCATCTTCTGCAGGAAGGGAATCATCAGGTTAGATAACAAAGCATATGTTTATTATTGTAAGAATCTTGTAGAATCATGTCACACCGTCATCACTTCAGGCTTTCCTACCACGTCAAACTGACACTGCATGACGTAAGAGAAGTTCTATTTACAGTGTTTATCTTAACTTACTCACTCACTCACTTCAAACAGGACTTGTTCGTGACTGTTTGAAGACCCTAAAATTACTAAACCAAAAGAAACTGTGATTTAACTTTCTGTTTAGAAGCCAGGCTTGTCGTTTATTAAAATTAAAAATATCAAAACGAAGACCCTGTTTCAGGTCCTCTGAAAACTATACTGTTCCACTTTCGATTGTGATTTAGTAATTTAAATATGTCTGATGATCCTTACCACAAGTTGAGTAGTATATACCGGTAGACATTTGTTCATAACATATAAGTGTGCATGCTGCCTCTGCAGGGTGCTGACTGAGAGGTCTGAAGCAGCCATGATGAGGATGAGTCCCCTGATGGCCAGGTTCCTGGTGCTCATCTCCACTGTAAGTACTGACACAACAGCTTCAACATGTACAGGCTGACCAATTACAGTTTCATCAGAAAGACTACAGTATCCTGGATACATTCCGCCATCTTTGAAAACTTTCTGCCATCTTTGAACTGTGCAAAAAATGTGCACAACTCGACTCGAGTTTTTAATACTTCGTTATCTTAGTGTACTTACTTTTTCAACCCTTGGATACCAGTTACTATCTTCTTTAGGGTTAGTTTAACGAATATTGTTAGGTTTTAGATCACATGGTTGAGTCTCTTGAGATGGGGTCGCCTTCATTTGCACCACTCAAAGACATGCTGTAGCCCAGTGGCTGGAGTGTTGGCTAGTTATACTGAAACTCTGGGTTTCATTCCCAATATAATTGATTTTGTGAAAGCATCTATTCATGCAGTGTTAGGGTAGCAATTGTAGCAGGGTGTGGAGTCATCCCATATATGGCATTCTTACCATGTCAGTTTGACGGGGTTAACCTCTTTGGTCATGTGGACAAGGTATCCAACTTCGGATCAGAAGGTCCGTGGTTTGAATGCTAGGATTTGAAATTTTATGGCTGCTAAAGTAACACAATGTATTTGCTTATTCTGTGTCACTGATGTTTGCTCCAATCTTGTTTCAGCTTCTCTGCCTCCTGATATTCCGAATCTGGATCATGGCTGGAGAACTTCCAGAATTCCTGGAGCAGGACAATCCCGCGTCCTTCTCTGACTCCCTCATCACTCGGTGAGTGACGCTTTGGAACAGGATTAACTTTCCTTGTATCAGGCAGTTTCGCTAAAAACAAATTGTGATACATTGACCCCCTTCCACACAAGCTCAGTTTGCCTCAGTATCTATAAAGCCGTATGCTTCATTATTGACTCACCAACTTCTAGAATGCTTATAAAACAATCAGTTTCCCTTTGTTGAAATTTGCCATGTTGAAGTTCATATTGAATCTTAATTTTGTATATACTGTATCAGCGAAAGTTGTAATCACTTGGTTGAAGTTAGTCTCAAGGATATACTGTTGTAGTCTTACATGCACACATGTTCATATTGTTGGACTGATCTCATATATACAATGGGTTGTGTGTTTCAGAGTTCTGACCTACAACTACCTGTTTGCCTTCAACTCCTGGCTTCTACTGGCACCAGTCACTCTTTGTTATGATTGGACACTTGGCAGTATCCCATTGGTGGAGTCAGTTGCAGACCCCCGTAACTTAGCAACTTTGGTGCTATTTGCCACATTTGTCGTTATTGGCTACAAGTGCGTCCAAGATTTTAAATCTCAGGTACGTGTATCAGATGACATTATAAGTTGTATGCTTCTCTAGTGGGTAATACAGTTTGATGTACACCTCTTTGTAGCAGTGTCACCCGAGCCGGTAGTTGATATGGATGTCCCAACGCAAAGTTAGTATTCCATATAACCCCACTGCAGGATGACAGATATCCAAACCTTTGAACAGGTATAAGATAAAACTTTCCTGAGGGATGATATTTCCTGTTATCACGTAATAGGGCTATAATACCAGATATTCCTGCTGCTTGTTAACAGTTCTTGATATGATATAACCTGGATATAAAACCAGATATTTCACTTCAAGAAGACAGTTCTTGGTATGACACAACCTAGATATAGTGACCGCCTCCGTGGTGTAGTGGTTAGAGCGTCCGCCCGGAGATCGGTAGGTCGCGGGTTCGATCCCCGACCGCGTAATACCAAAAGACGTTAAAATATGGTACTTGTTGGCCCCTGCCTGGCGTTCGGCATTAATGGGTACAACAAGGACTGGTCGGCTCGGAGTCAGTATAATGTGTCTGAGTGGGGTATTTATGCTTCACTGCGGCATGGTATCTCAGTGGGCTAGCACTATAAAACCAGCATAAGTCTTGGCTAGTACAAGCAGCCGCACATGCACACGCATGCACGTCGTCATATAAGCGAAATATTCTCAAGCACGACATTAAACTCAATTTCACCTCACCTCACCTCACCTCACCTCACCTCACCTCACCTCGCCTCGCCTCGCCTCGATATAGTACTAAATATTCCCTACAGGATTACGATTCTTAATTTGACATGACTTGGATATAATACAAGATATTCCACTTCAGAATGACAGTTATCCCAGTGTGACGCTCCTGGCTTTGTCTCTACTTGTGATTCCCTTCCTGCCAGCATCCAATCTCTTCTTCCGTGTGGGTTTTGTGGTTGCAGAAAGAATCCTTTATCTACCAAGGTGAGATAACTCTTCATCATTCAGATGTTTAACCATATGTATTCCAGTGGAAACCTGATGTAAAATTCCAAGGACTAGCCAGTGTTATCAGGCCCTGGACAACCATCTTGTCTCTATGCATATGTATCAATGAACAACTTATCAGGGCTGGCCTGCCAGTTGTCAGTCTCTTCTTGACACCAGTGGGATGTTTGTTTTGGAGTGGTTGCAGAAAGAATCGCTAATTTATCTACCAAGGTGAGATAAACTCTTCATCATTCAGATGTTTAACCATCCAAGTTTAGTTAACAGGACTCTAATAGTGTATTTTTACATCAAGTTAAAAGCGGTACTTTCCACTGTATTTACAAATATTTCTTAATCACATCATCATGTCATTGTGACATACTTTCTCTACCGACACAATAGAGTAAATTCCAAATAGTTTTGATTCCAAATAGAACTAATGTTTGAGCAGGTCATAGGTCATAGTATTGCTCATACATAGGACTATAATTTTCTTTCAGGCGTTTTCAAGAGTGAACAATTTAACAATTTTGAACTGCCTTGATGTGACTGTTGCAGCACATAGGGAGCTATGGTTATCAGGCTCTGTATGTAATGGCCTTAATAGAGTTCTATAATAATGGCATCTTAATGCCTGTGTCACAGCATGTAACGTTATGTCTGTCTACAATAAATACCAGAAAATTACCATCCATCATGATTTTCAAGCATTTTCAACAAACTGTACAATAGTAGGTAAGGTAGGTACTTTACAAAAGTTCTTTCTTACTTACTGATTTTAGTGTTACATACAGTCTACCTATGAGTTAATCTATGTTGGAGACTTTCTTTAAAGGAGGCTATAATGTCACATATAGCCTACCATGACTTATTCTTTTTTGGAGGGTGTATAATGTCATAGCTGAACATAACTCGCTCTCTGGTGGAGGCTGCCTTAAACAAACAATATCGCTGAACTTACTCCATATGTGTGTGAGATACACTCTTTCTTTTAAGAAGTCAGACCTCAAGCTGTGGCATGGTAACTTTGTCCTCCATAATTCCCATACTGTCTCAGAGCCTGTTGTGTGATATAATGAGATTTATTACCCATCATGACAGAGACTACGAGCCTGTAGTGTTAATATCTGTGTAACAGCATGGTCTTTACAACTCCCAAGCAATTTACACATATTTACAAACTAAAAGACCTGACAATGATTTATAATGATATGCAGTTACAAAAAGTAAGGTCTTGCAGATCATGAATATGTACGTGAGTGGTGTAGGTTCGGGGTTACAGGTAAACCCAGGGGGCAAGGTCATGGAATGATCCAGGCTAGTTCATCATGTGAAACACCCTACAATAGTCCTACTGTTATACACCCCATGGGGGTTTATGGGGTGTGAATGTACTTCTTGCGGCAAGACGTCATGCTCGGTTAAATATTATTTATGATCACAACTGAAAGTGTAATCAATGCTGAATTACCCAGCATTCAAAGTTTGTAAAGATAACCCAGTGTCGGCAGACCTTCCTCTACAACCAATCTGACACCTGTCAAGTCTCCTGGTTATAAAACACTATATTGACCGTGATAACGGATAGATAACACAAACATGTCTTTTTTTTAGGCTTTTTACTGCCCTGATCATCGACTGTAACCAGTATACTGCCAGCCTGTAACAAATTGCTTATTTCATTAAAAATTATTATTGGAAGTTGCTCCAGTTTGATAACATATGAGTTTCTCATATTTTCTAATAATTATCTAATTATTTCATTTTTAACCTGTTCCTAAAAGCAGTTAATGAGTTATGTCCGTACCATGTACCATATTAACTGTAGTAAGAGCCCTTAGGCCTGGGGTGTTTGTCACTGTGAATACTGAATGTCTTTCCTTCATGATATCTTCTACTTACATTCCCATACTTGACTTTATAACACTGAGGCCAAAAAAACAAATATGTGTGTTTACGGTTTCCCGACCAACCCCATCACAAACCTCCCGACCCTAAACTGTTTTTGGACACATTTTGCTATTCCAACAGTATGTCCTCCCCAATGTTGGGGGCGACCATATGTGACCTGTGCTCACTTACTCTTGTTTTTCATAAATGTTGAATTTAGAAAGTGTTGATGCTTCAGTTATTAAAATTTTAAACTGGTTTCCCCTCTTTTCTTTCAAAACTGGTTCCTCATATTACATAAATATGTGATCTTCTGAAAAATATGCGAGTACATTTAAAAAAAAATGTAAGAATAAAAAAGATAAACCCTACCTACCGACCCTGTTTTATAATTTCATGTTACCCTAAACACACATATTTTTTTTTTTTTGCCTGATCTTAAACACCCAATATTGCATATCAAGCTGTTGTCGTCTCATCTGGCCCAAGGGAGTTGAAGGTTCAATTGAGGCATGATCAGGACGGTGCCGAAACTTGTAAACATTGCTGCAAACAACAACATATTTGGCTTTTTCTGCGGAACCATTTGGAGAATATTTCCTCACTTTGGTTAGTTGGTAATGTCAATAAGTGGTCTCATATGCTTTCTAAATGCAGTTTGTTTTGTATGATTAATGAACAAATACATTTGTAAGTCATCTTCACGTACTCCATGAAGAATATGCATCGGAAAGTTTTTGATAAGAGGCTAAAGGTTTAATGTCTATGAATAGTCAAAGTGTGATGATAAGCCAGCATGAACAACCACATTAAGCACACCTGTACAGACTTGAACCAGATGAGAAATGTGTTTAATGTATTATAATATTTATATTTTTATCTGTATTATAATATTTCAAGCAATATTTTATCCATGACACAAGTCCCTGCAGTGTGACTGTCAAATGATGAAACACATTTTAATACCTATTCTCACTTTCCATCACAGAGGCCACTTCAGCATAACCCTATGATTAATTTTGACGTTCACTTGAATGACTCCTGTTATTTAAAGGAATGCTTCTTTATCACTGAACATATTCCACAAAAACTGCTTTTGTGTAACCAGCATACAACATCGTTGTAAACATGACAGCAGGCCTGAATTGATCAATGTAAGATAGCAAGTCATATTAGTCTCTTTGTCACACACAATCAGTGGTTAGTGAAGCAGTCTCAACTCCAGGGACATCTGACAGTGTGTTGTTCAACTGCTGTGTTGTTAACAATGTACAACATTACTGCTGTGTTGTTAACAATGTACAACATTACTGGCACATTTCTGTCAGTTTCCAACACTCACCTCCAGCTGACTTAAGGCCAGTCACCTAACCTTCATTATTCCCTAGGTAGTAAAATGGAATAAAAATGTATGAATAAACAGGTGAGATATATCTTAATATCTTTATGGAAGCAGGATATAAATTGAAATGATTAAATCAACTGATGCATGAAAGATGGTAATCATGTGGAAACTGCAAACAGGTACTTCATGTCACTGTAATAAAGTTTAAAAAGTGTTGTTTTCTAGGACAGTAGTATTATCTGATTTGTAAATAATATGGGCTGATAATCCCTTGATTCAATACAGGAAGTACCGCCGTCCCTGTCGACGGGTGTCTCCGTACAGACCACAGTGTAGCAGCATACTTCACGTGTTGTCCTACTGATCCCACTATCATGTTCCTCTATCTGTACACTCGGGTTTGTCGTCAGAGATATTCTCATGGCTGAGGCAAAGTGTTGTCAGCTATAATTATAGCAAAATACATCATGCTGGTGTCTCATTGATATTTGTACACAGTTATTATCTATAATATAACATGCTGCAGGTACAATTATATGTACTGCTTTCCCAGCCGCTGCCATTGTAGTCAGGCCTTTCATTCAACAGCCTTTGAAATGTTTTTGTGTTGAGCCAATCTTTAAGACATATACTCTCAGTGACTGCTTGTATACTAGACAAGACAGGCTTAGGTTCTTGTTATAATAATACTACTTTCAAAATTTAAAATGAAACAAACAAATAAAAGTTGTTTTAAGGTAAATAGCACTGAATCTACCCAGAAATATTATTTAATCAGTGCTGTGTATTCTGTTTCTAGTTATAAAGCTTGGCATGAGATGAATTGCTTCTGACTGAGTGTACGGTGTCGTGTACTGCGGCAAGTGTGGTTGCACAAAGCCCATATGTCCCTAGGTAATGTAGGGCACGAGGTACCTACACGTTCCTCAATTGTCATATTGTCAATCTCTGCCTAGTTTTTTGTATCATTTGGACTCCAAAACCTTTTTCAATCTTCATGTATTTGAAAAGTTATCAAAAGCCTATTGAGGCGAAACTGTTTCTTGAAAGCATCCATACACTGCCATGCTGGGCGGGATCTGCCTTGCCGGAGGAGAGGGTGCTTCATTTCTTGGATAGAATAGATTGCAGGTGCAGAGAAATGGGAAAAACATCTCACCCATAAGTGATATGATTTTTTTGTATGTGATGGGATATTCATTACTAACTTGATGAATTACTTACACATAGTTAGGGAGCAGAGTGGCATGCTCGTGCATGGTATAAACTCAGTGATTATTATACATGGTGAGGGAGCAGATTGGCATGGTCTTGGTATAAAGTTTGTGATTACATGAATACATGACACGTTTTATAGATAACATAAGTATTCATGCTTGATTGGCATTTTAGAAGATGATATTTGATGAACATAGAGATTTTTTCTGGGTTACATCTTCTTTTTATTCTCGAGTACAACGTTTCAGGGCTTGTTCTGGCTCCATCATCAGGTAGAACTGAACAGAAAAAATCTCTATGTTCATAAGTATTCATGTTTGTCCAACTTCTGAATGTCTTTCAAAAACTTTGTGATTACATATACATGGTTAGGGTGCAGTTCAACAGTGTGGAATAAGGTGTGGAATAAGGTGTGGTTCTTGAAGCTTTGATTATGACTAATGGCGTCACCAAGACCAAGATGACTTCAAACAGCATTTGGCCGTTGTTTCCTTCTGGCAGTGCTGTCCGGCCCTCTGTGGTAACTACACCATGTCTCACCCCCTTGTGACCAGCATGTGCTTGATAAATGTGGTAACTACACCATGTCTCACCCCCTTGTAACCAGCAGGTGCTTGATAAATAATGTGGCTGGAATTTGTACCATAACCAATTGTAGATGTGCACGTGGTGTCCGTAAATATAAACTTGATTAAACATGACACATGTCTGTCCCTCAAAAGTTCTGTGCAAGAAAGGTTACGAGAAACTGCTCTGTCAATGTTTGTCTTTGATAGAACGATTGTACATCACAAACATTCTTCAAGTAGTCGGTTGTTTGACTTAATTTCATAGTGAGCATGACCACTGAATACAATGTTATGTATCAACCAATCCAACCGAGTATCAAATCGGCCACTTGGACAACACAGCCACCTAACAGAACTTGAAGTGCTCTCTCAGTCACACGACACGGACCTGAGGCTGACCTTGAGTTGTGTCCATTACTGCAGTAGGGGAATATAATCCCAGACAAAATGACCATGGCCCCAGGGTTGGGGTGTCGGGATCTTATGCTGGTGTCCAGTGACTGGTCATCTTAATAGAAATCTGCCAAAATTGTCAACACTCAGCCATTTCATCAAAATATAAAGATCTGATTACAAAACAGATCGTTTCATGTGAAGGGAAACTTGGTAGAGAGGTGACATGTTTCTGTAAGAAGTACTGCCACAGGGAATATTACAGAAATGTTCCCATGTGTGGAGTACTGACAGTTAATATCTTGGGCAGTTGGTGATATATATATATATAATACCAGGTAATAACAACAACAATTATGGGGCCAGTTATATTATGCTATATACATTTCCACACCACACCGGAGCATACTTATTGCCCTACATTATTATAATTATTTTTACTCCAGTCAATGGATCAATTTTCACTTAAATTTTGTTCCAAGCTCCCAAGGGAATATGCTAGAAGGTTTACAGCCACATAGCTTCCTCTTCCTACCGGGCACCCAGTCACTGCTAATATTTTGTTATTGTGAAAAACACATAGGTACAATGTGTGAAGCCCATTTTTAGTGTCCCCCACCATGATATTGCTGGAATATTGCTAAAAGCAGCATAAAACCATACTCACTCACTCAGTCACTATTGTGAAGAGTGCTGTTACAAAGTAATATTGGCCTGCGTACTTTTCACTGCAGCAGGAGAATGTTGTATGCCCAGGGGTATTTACAGTATTAGTGTATGATGTGATGGACAAAGTGTAACTAATACCATTAAAACACCATGCTTGATCTTTTATCACACCTGTTTACTGCTTGTAGCACCATATTTATGATACACGCAGGTAAGTTCAGCAGGTAACCGATCAGTGTGCTCACCTAGGTATGTCAGGTGTTTCACAGGTAGCAACATTGTGTATACCTGGCCACTTATTGTCAGATGTAATCAATATGCTGCAACCTTTGAATCAGAATACAATCCTTGACATTATATTACAGACAATTTGCATGATAATGTGCTTTATGGTGTACCTGTTAGACGTTTCATTGCCTTTTACCTGTATAGTGTACCTGTTAGACGTTTCATTGCCTTTTACCTGTATGGTGTACCTGTTAGACGTTTCATTGCCTTTTACCTGTATGGTGTACCTGTTAGACGTTTCATTGCCTTTTACCCCACCTTCATGTGAAATGTGCTGTATGGTGTAGGTTGTTAAATAATATCAACAAGGTTGGGTGAAGTGTTGCCGATACAAAGAAAACCTTGTGTGTTTTATGTAAACTTGCTTATCCCTGGTGTAGGGACACTCAGACAAGCCATCATGTTTATCACACTCACTGAAGATTTACTGGAATTTCCCGGGATGTTGAGAATACTCGCACTTCCTTAAGATCAGCTGTGAAGTCTGTGAAGTGCTAGCAATCATGAAGAATGTGATTCCAGAGCTGTCCTAGGTTTGACAAGTGCACAAGGGCACCTGCTGACTTTGACTGTTTGATGTATAAATAATAGGGGCTTGTTCCTTGGCTTGTGTGTTTGATGTCCAGTTTTTCCAAAGACCTTGCATAAAGCAAGATTGATGATAATTTTCACGAAATCTGACAATCGGTTTTCAAAGAGACAGTGCACATAAAAACAGCATAAAAGCAGATCTCATGCGTTTCATAGAAGAGATCGTTGACAGTTGCATGTTATGTTTCCTACTGCCGTGATGCCATTAACATTCAGACAATACTGCACTGTCAGTCTGGCCAGAACTTATCCCCTGTTAAAGTAATCCCGACCATATATCAGAGTCGTAGCAGGCGATGAACGTGAGATAATCACTTAGCTTGACACGGGAACATTGCTTCTAAGTGTTTACGTGAAGACTAATTCCGACACAATGCTTAAAGCTGGGATTCCGTGTGCAAGTTGTCCCTAGTCTGTGATGCATGCAGAAAACTTTATATGTAATATAAAGTAGTGTTTCCATGTGTGTGATCTAGACTGCCCAGTGTGTAGTGTCCAGAACGGTAATGTGCGTCCACTGTTTTGCATGTGAAAGTGAGGAACACCCTGGTTTTTACCATACCACAGGCACCTGCTTTTGAAAAATCAGCCATACTTAACTAGTATTTCCACAGAAGCACAATTATCATTACCGGTATATTACTATAGTCAATATTTATGATGCGCTCATTTCCACGCTTACAGCATGCTCAAGGTGCAACAATTAAAAGTATAATAGGAAGGGATGATGACAAAAGTTATATGATTCATAGAACTGGCGGAAAAGATAGGTTTTGAGGCTTGATTTGAATGACTCAAACATTGGAGGAAGTTTCAGATGGTGGGGAAGAGAATTACACACATAGGGGGCATAATGTTCAAAGGATCTCTGACCAAGTCCGACTACAGTTCTTCTGTGTGCAAGGGCAGGTAACCACCTAGTGGTTAAAGCATTGCACACTGACGACCTCAGGGTTCAATGTGTGAAGTCCATATTTGGTGTTCCCTGCTGTGATAATCCTGCAATGATCCTAAAAGTGTTATAAAAACTCACTCACTCTCTCACATAGTGTTACACATTGACTATGTTTACACGGAAACCTAGCTTGATACAACCCGTGAAGATTGGAACCCAGTTAGAATTGATCTTCATTAACCCATGCTTGATGTATGAGGCGACTAACGGGATCGGGTGGTCAGGCTCGCTGACTTGCTTGACACATGTCATCAGTTCCCAATTGTGTAGATCGATGCTCATGCAGTTGATCACTGGATTGTCTGGTCCAGATTGGATTATTTACAGACCAACATAAAGCTGGAAGTTGCTGAATGTGTCGTAAAACTAAACTCACTCACTATTGCATGATGCACCATCAAACTCTAAAATCCCACACACGGTTACTCTGAATACACAGAAGTGTTTGAACCTGTTATATTGTTGGAAGGATATATTTGTTAACAGGCCATTTTTTCTTAAATACATATATATGTGCATATACTGAAATTGTAACTGTAAGGCTACGAGTGATATGTCAAAGTTGGATATATTTGTTTAAGAAACTGTGATGTCAGTCCAGAATTATCACTGATTCTTGGTCCAGCTCATTGCGCTCATCTTGTGTACCCTTCTCTGGTACACATCCTAAATGTTTCTTCTGTGAGACAAGCCCAGCTGCAAGCTGGACATTCTGACATAACTCACACGTCCAACTCTGAATGTATGTTTCCTCAGGGACACTAGAATCCATTGATGTCAGCTGTTCATCTACATGTAATATTTGCTTGTTTCGTTTGAAATTTGCCATACATAACATTACATAAAACACCGAAGAAGTTGGTAAAACCTGATGCTCAACCTGTTGTTGATGTTGCAGCCTAGGGTTCAGCCTGCTGGTGGGGTATGGGTTGATGGTGTTGCTGCAACGATGCCGGGACAACAGGAAGCACCTGATGATGGCCATGCTGGCATACCTGGCCATTCTGGCCACCAAGACATGGACTCAAAACACTGTCTGGATGTCTAGAGAGGCCCTGTTTAGGTGAGTTAAAAGAGTTGAAACAGATGAGGATCCTTTTAAGAGAGGCCCTGCATTTTGGGTTGTTCCAACCACTTAGGTTTAGGGTTATTTATTGGCACATATAAAACTCTGTCTGGCGAGGCCCTGTTAGGTCAGGTATTTGGATCATGTAGCAATACCCTGTCCTTATATAGAAGTCCAGTTTAGGTGCCATAGGTGATGGGTAAGAGAACTGTTAGACATGAACATATTTTACAGAAAAAACAGCTCCATGATCTTCTGGAATATAATAGAAATGATCTTGTTCTCCAGCCTCAAGCGACAGAAGCCTTGCTACATATTCTAGACTTCCATTAGCTGTATTGGGCATATTTGTGTCAGGGTCTATATGACCCTATGACTAGAGAACTGTCCCTCTTTGAGGATCCTGTACTAAGCCCTGATCAGCATTGATAGGTCAGCTGATTTGATCTGACATAGTGTGGGGCACTGACTGAACAGTACAATGCTGTAAAGTCAGTTAGTATTGTTTTCAGGTAACCGTATACAACCACTTACTTATATTGCGTGCTAAAACAACAATGGCATAGTTCAGTGAGACACGTATGGAACAGGATGTGTAAGCTATGCAAAACAATTTCAAGCATCCAGGATGTATAACTCTCTGTTTTACGATGTGTTACCCCCAAAAAAGTTATGGTATCATTTTCAACGCTATTTTTAATCCCAACATTGAAGGATTGAACAATATTTACCCAAGCTGCTAGCATCCCTGCCTTGTGCGGTTATCATCAGTATGCTCCTACAGTTATTCCAGTGGGAAGATTATAATATGGGCTCTAATATTTTGACAAGAAGGTTTAACAAATACTGAACCAGCTTTGTACACCATATATACGCTTTATGTGTATAATCCTAGTGTAATCGCTATTATTTTGTCACACCTGGATAGATCAAAGGATACACCTGGATGGGAGGTCTGTGGACAGGTAGAGGTGTAATCCAGGTAACAGGTACTTGGTGGATGGGCCAAGTGTTTTCATAGGAAATCTATGCTGGATGTAGTACAGGAATGTGTGAAACAAGTGGCTTTATATAAACACAATTGTAGGGTGTTTTGAATGATTAACAGAGAATCCTGTTATTGAATTAAACATGTTTGCACACAGACTTTGATGAGCATGAAACAACATGTATCATTTTGTTGATAAATGTATGATGACCAAGTTGATTAGACATAATTTCAGATGTTTTCAAATGAAGGAAAATTGGATTTGGATAAAATGTATTAAAGATGTTACATGTACTGTTTTAATATGCATACAACTAATTCTTTGAACAGAGCTGTTCTTGTATGTGAAGACAATAAAACAACAACAATGTTTCGGGTCACAGATTTGCTCACAGTTTAGACTTTAAACAGAATCTGAAAAAATAGTCTGTTACTCATTTTTGCCGTATATACATCTGTACTTGATCATCTCTAAAACTTAAAACATAAAAGTGTGAAAAAGGCTATTTTTTGGTCATTGCAATTTATAGCAAAAAAAGTTAAGAATTTGCATTGTACCAAAATAGGTGTGGTTTTCTTGTGGCTGGTTTTGTTTACTTTTGAGTGAATAGGAATAGAAGATAATTTGCAACTTCCCTTTCATCTTGTCTCTTCATTATATTTATATCTGCTTGTAAATGAAACGGACAGACTGATATATCATTCCAATAGCCAATAATCACATTGCATATAATGCTTTGACGTTGCCAATTCAGATTATCAGAAGCAGATATTTACTGGGCAAAAAATCTGCATTCTGGCCCCTTGTGACTGTAGTTCATTATTTCTGTATTGACTCGAAGAGGAAAGAAAACCTCAGAACCAATATTGATTGACTATAGGAATAGTGTCTGTCTGCTTGATGTAGAGGAGGTAAAGGGCCCTCCCCACTACCAGACAGACTGTAGGTATTATCATATCACACGCATGGGTGATTACAGCTGTAGTGAGCCGTGTAGTGTGGCCGCTGCGACTCCTTCCATTAACAGTCAGCTCGCGATCACAGGGTCTCTCAGATCTACACAACTACCACCCAAACATTCACAGACAATCTCACACAAACTGGTTGATAGTAAATGTTAGTTCCACACTTTCTGGCATTGAAGGCTAGCTATCACAGGGCGCCTAGATCTTCACGGCACACCTCCCACCCAAACATTCACAGACAATCTCACAGAAATTGGTTGAAAGTAAACATTCAAATATTATCAGAGCTATGAGGGGTGAGTCTGAGCATTGTGAATGCCCTGTGTCAATAACGATGGCGTCGCCTCCCGAAAATCCGAGTTCTGATTATGTGTACAACACCTCAGTTTATAGGATTACTGTTCCTAAATGTGACAAGCATTTGCTTCCCTTGATTAGCGCAGACGAGGAAGAAATTCGAGCATGTCTATGTATATCTTGTCAGATTTTGTCAATAATAATCCAATTTTTTGTATGATTCTATATCTGAAGTGTGGTACTGCCCTGCTTGTATGAATACAGCAACTACCTGAACCCAAGCTGGGACACACGACTCGGTCATTGTCAACCCTCGTGGGAGCAAATACTCCTATAAATGATTGCCAATTTACTTAGTGAATTGCATATTTGCTAAAAAGTTTTAAACATGTTCACAATGAGTCGTGAGTTGAAGGAGCGAATAAGGTTCAAAATGTCTTGTTTTTCCAGTTACAGTAGAACAGTGCATCCTTGTGCTAGGCGATGTAGGGCATTCATGCACATGTGCATTGACTGGGGGCTTTGAGGGAGAGGTGTTCAAGCAGCTCCACTGAGTGCCTGCTGCGTCTTTGCAAAATATTTGTCTTCAATCTTTACAATATTAAAAATATTATTTCCACATTTTCTAAATGTGTTCAAATATTTGAGGAAGTCTTATTCTTGTTATTTTATTTACATATAACATTTTAAAGAAGCACCGGAATCAAAACTTGATGACAGTGTAGAGTAGACATAGAAGTAAAGAAGAGAAATGTCGGTTCAATTCACACAATGTGCTTATTATTTTCTTGTTAATCAGAGATAGTTGTGTGGTAGTAGTTTGATGAAAATATTGAATAGCTTCAATTGTTGAGGAAAGCTGTCATGTTAGCCAGTGTTTGGTTAGACTATGTCCATTCGGGTTTTACTGAGGCGTGTTATTAACTTGCGGCTGTTTATAACCTCAGTGTAGTTTATGATTGGGAGTTTTATGTGTCTGTTCTGAGTAAGAATTCTTAGAGGTTTGTCAGACATATAAAGTATAAAGTCAGTGTTAAATTGTTGTGCCTGTCAAGGAGACAATAACGAACTGACATCACACACAGAAGGTGACTTGATATTAACAAGGAATGAAAGTTCAGTAGTTATCAGTGTCTTATGAAGTAATGAAGGTTTTGTCCCATGCAATAAACATACATTCAAGTTGATAAGAAAATCTGTTGGTGGAACTCCCAAGAGGGCAAATATGAAACCTTATTCTTCACTTAATGTCATTTATTTGTTTTCTAACCATAACCTTGGTGGAGAATGTTATCACATTTTCTACTGTTTTGGGAATTAGCACCGATGTATCGTTTATTGGTGTTGGTTTTACTTGGTAAACATGCCTGATGCTTCTCCACAGATCGGGCGTGAAGACGATGCCAAACAATGCCAAGGTGCACTACAACTACGGCAACTACCTCAAAGACATCGGCAACTCCCAGGAAGCTATTCTACACTACCAGAAGTCACTCCAGTGAGTGGTTTCTTGTTACTGTTACCTGGCAAACATGTGATAAAAGTATTGTATTGTATAATGTATTTTAGTCTATGTAATAATACAGTGTTATTAACTACGCAGTCAGCAGTATGCCAGCTATATCACAGCACAGCTATAACTGACCCAGACAAACAGGTGCTTGATGGTATCAGATGTTATTGCTATGATCCACATAGTTGTTTCTTTAGAGACAGAGAGCTAGGCTCCTCCTCTGTACCCCTGAGGTCAACACACACAATCTATACATCCATTGTCTGGTATATATCCTACAACCAGTCCAAGATATGATTATACCTGAACACTATTAATCCCACTCACTGAGGCCAGGTGTAATCTCTCAGTGTTTGTTTATTTGTAACAGCAAACATCAATAGGTTTAGTCAACTGTGTTTGTGTGTGTATATTTGTGTTCACTCGACTGGTATCTCCTCCAGGCTCTACCCACACCATGCCAGTGTCTACAACAACATGGGCACAGTGGTGACCAATCAGACGGAGGCAGAGATACTGTACAAGATGGCTCTCAAACTTCTACCCAATCACAAGGGAGCTTACATCAACCTGGGCCAACTATTGTTGTGAGTTGGACATCTTTGATCACAGAAACCCATATCTATATGAAGCAATCTAGATGTCCATGAAATTGTTGTACCTCACAGATTTCACACTTTGACTGATCAATATATGTTTGGGGTTCTCTTGTTTTGGGTCAAAGGGTGGATCTAAAAGTGGGAATGTGTATGGTGCTGCCTCTATATTACTTGAAGGAAAGCCAAGTTCTATGGATAGTCAACTTCTCTATTGCAATGAGTGTGACGTTTTGGTGTAGGTGTAGGTGTAGGTACTAACACCATTATCAAGCCTCTGACATATATCTATATTACTTGTATGAGACTGAGTTTCTGAATAGATAAAATAAGTCCTCCCCTGAATATTCCAGAATTATCACAGCGGGGGACACCAAAATTGGGCCTCACACATTGTAGCCATGTGGGGAATCGAACCTGAGGCTCCAGCGTGACGTGCGAACACTTTAACCACTTGGCTACCCCACCGCCACCCTATGCGAGAAATAACTCTCATGATAACTGACTGCTGCAGCATTGTATGCAGCATCATCATCATCAAACACAGAATGGTTGGCAAAAGCAGATTATGTAGATATGCACTGTGCATATCTTGGGGCCCGTTTTCTAGATTTGATCGTGTTGGATGTTTTCATTAAGCATCACCGCTTTAGGGAAACTTTTTGTATATTTGGAACAATACATTTCTTTCATCCAAATAATATTCTACATTAGTGTGCATCAGATATGAGGTGATTGTATGAGAGGTGATGGTCCTCATAAGGCTTGAAGTTATAGACTATTGTCACAGAACTAGTCCCACACAAAATGGAATTCCCACCTGAAGAACTTCAATGCTTCACAAATATGATCTTGTTGATTCAGTTTTCAATCAACATATTCATAATACTGCATCCCTTGCTATGATGTAAAGAAATGTGATGATATAATTCATATCAATGATATTTGTTAGTATTAATTCCAGTTCCTGCTGATGATCTGGTATCTGGTATTTGTTGGTATTCATGCCATACAAGTTCTTACAAATGTTCAGGTAGCTGGTATTTGTAGATATTAGTACCACTTCAAGCTAATGTTTAGGTAGCTGGTGTTTGTTGGTATTGATACCAATTACTATTGATATTGGTATTAATACCACTTCCAATTATTACCACTTCAAGCTAATGTTTAGGTAGCTGGTGTTTGTTGGTATTGATACCAATTACTATTGATATTGCTCCAACAGGTATTTCTTGGTATTAATACCACTTCAAGCAAATGGTCAGGTAGCTGTCATTCATGGTATTAATACCAATTACTGTTGATAATCATATAACAGGTATTTCCTGGTATTAATAACAGTTCAAGCTAATGTTTCTGGCATTTGTTGGTATTGATACCAGTTTGACATCCTGTATGCGAGTGTTGTCATGTGGCTATCCCTGCTGGGTGCCTCTATGCTTCAATTATCCCTGAATTCTGTATCCTAACAAGGCCTTTATGCCAATATTGATCTAGGTGCCCATGGTGGATACTTACTGGCTGCAGCCTTTGTGGGGAGGGATGACAAATTACTCAACCAATGATAAATCAATGATAAGCCAGTGATTCCTGCGGTAATGAGACATGGCTGACAGTGTGGTAGTAGGTGGTCATCGACTTCCAGGAAAATGATCAGACTGAATTAATAAGAGTCCTGCTTCACAGGAACCCAGGCCATAAGTTATCATGGTAAACTGTCACATGCAAGTCCATGGAAGACATTGTATTTGTGAATTTTGTGAAATAGTTTTTAAAAAATGTGTTGATATTTGTTTGTGTAAGTTGAAATTCGTTTGATATTGTGACATTTTCTGTGTTGATGAAAAACTTTTTTGAGAAGATTTAATTTGTGGAGGGGTAGTGATTTTTAGCAGAAATTCTGCTGATGGTTTGTGTCGTCTGTAGGTGTTTTTTTCTCTTTTGGCATCATCATCATCATCAGTTTTTACTGATTGAAGTGGATGCTTACTGTGTCAACGTCCTAGTTACAGACATTATGGCTTCCCCACAATGTTATAAAAATAGTAAGAAAAAAAATGTTACAAAAATAGTATCATGACTTTTTGGTAATTAAAACAATGGTATTGAATAAAGGAAGCAATAACTGTTCAAGTGCTTTTCATATATGTAGTACTGACATACAAATAATGTCACATCTAAAATGACTATAAATATGATTACTAGTATTCTGTAAGACGAAAGTTGAATGTGGCAGTGTCACATCTATCGCTATGTGCTCATTCTGTCTAAATAAATGTGTGAAATAATAAATGACAAGATCCCCCAGCACAACACTTAATATGACAAGCCAGGGCCTAGAGAAGTGTGTGTAGAGATTAATGTATCACAAGGGTACGGCCAAGATTAATGTCCGTCTGCTGGATGTACAGACGTGTTATCTTCCATGCATGAAATAACCAAGCGTATCAAGACAGATATGGATGGTGCTCTTTGTTCTTGTGGAGTTCTGTGGACTGTCAAGGAATCTCTACAAGATATGAATGGTGCTCACTCTTCAACCTTGAACTTATGTCTTAGATTCCATTGAGTGTGAACTTGAGAGTAGTTTCTGATCATATTCATGACTTGGCTTCATGTTCTCCATTATCATCCATCAGTAAGTGATTGAATATGTCAGCACTCGCTGCTATCTGTAGTGGCCTTTAGTCTATATATATTAACACTTTACCTCCATTCCTTCTCCCCAGCATTAGGTGGTAAACATGACTAGGTGCTATTGTGACTGTTTCAGACCCCATTTCCCAGATTTTGCTAATCCCATAATTGCTCCGATTCTTAGCCTTGATCTGTGAACCATTGGTTTCATCAAACTGGTAGAGTGAAGTATAGATCAGCTTTGAAGCACACCGATAATGCAAGATGAGATCAAACATTTGAGTTCCATGCAGCTATCATCAGTTTGTTCCCAGAATGCCATCTGAATAGGAGTGAGTGAGTATAGTTTTATGCCGCTTTTAGCAATATTCCAGCAATATCACGACAGGGGACACCATAAATGGGCTTCACACATTGTACCCATGTGGGAAATTGAACTCAGGACTTTGGAGTGAAGAGCGGCACTTTAACCATTAGGCTACCCCACGGGCCCATATCTAAATAGAAAGTGATAGGGACCTTTTAATGTTCATTTTAAGTAGTCTACCACCAGGATCACATCACAATTCTCACATTACACGTATGCACAATGGTAAAACAAAACTACTGCTACTGGTGGTGTTAAATCAGTTTTCATTGTCTGTCCAGCAATCGGGGTGAGAGAGAGGAGGGGGTGCTGATGGTGCAGAGGTCGCTGGACATCGACGCTCACAACATCGATGGGCTGCTGGCGATGGGGAAAATGATGATGGATGAACAGAGATGGACGGAGGCAGAACACTACATCAAGACTGCCATCGTGGAGAAACCATCCTTCGCCAAGGCCTATAACTACTATGGCGTGTTTCTACTGAGGAAAGGTAGGCAGTGTGTCTACGTCAAGTGTTGAATCAGTCCTTGATGAGTAGAGACAAGTTTGTAGATCCTTTGTATGTACCATGTTAGCTGTACTAAGCACCCTGTTCCAAACACAGTCCTTGACCAGAGTCTAGACCGATCTATAAGTAGTCTTCATACTACTTATACCTAATTTATACGGCCCCAAATTTACATGACAATCCATTTTCTCTCGTGTTCATTACCGATCCTTTTACAATAAACACGTCAATGTTGAAGGGTTGTGAAACGTGGTAACTGTTATTGAACTAATCTGGAACTACAGATTTAATTTTTTTATTTTGTTTTATAATGGCTCATCTTTGTCAATTTTCAAAGTGCCCAGAGCACTTATTATGTTGACTACTGTATGTTTTAAATGCCTTTTCTTAAGTAAAGTATGGTCTACAGAGAGCTAATCTGCGATTTGTTTGAGAAAGTGTTTGCTTAGTGATTATTATCAATGATTATTATTAATTGTGTAGGGCAAGATGTACTGTAATAAAGACATAGTATCCATGGGTATATAATGAAGCATAATGATTGTATAGTTAATTTCAGACAAGTCATGATCTTAACTTAGTAACGTCAGTTAATCACTTACTAAAACCATAGTCCCATAGTGTACAGTACATTGATGGTGGTAAATACAGAGGTATGTTAGCACTGGTTTGGTACCTCTAACTAACCAATCAGGTGTTGTTGTACAGGCCAGCTGAAGGATGCGGTGACATACTACCAGCAAGCCTACAAGCTGGACCAACTGGACACCATAGCGATGTCTAACGCAGCTGATGGTCTTCGACAACTGGGGAGACTGGACGAAGCAGAGCAGCTACTGAGGCAGTGAGTTGTCATCCTTATTGTTTCCTGCCATTAAGTGTGTGAGTGAGTTGGGTTTTGCACAATGTTTAGCAATATTTTCAAAACAATGTAGGTAGAGGATACCTGAAATATGCTTCGCACATGATTTCCTTTGGAATTGAACCTATGGCTTCAGCAAAATGAGTAAACACAGTAACCTGTCAGGTTCCCCATGTGACCCCTCCTAATATTGGCAACTGGAGGAGATCCTTACAAGAGGAGGCGAATACATTGTCCTGTATTTCTGCTTACGTGCCAAGTAATCACTAATACAGTTAACTGAAGTTTGATGATATTTTGATGCACTTTGGAAGAATACAGTAAAAGTTATTATGATGAAAGCATATGGTTTTGTTTACACTTATCAATATGGTTGTAAATGTCTGTCTGTCCACGTAGGACTTTTTATTACCCCACAATAAGCTGATACAGCATCTGTCTGGAGCAGTGATAATTCCAGTATGATTGAGTGAGTGAGTCACATCAGTTTTATTGTATTTTATTGATATTGTTATATAAACACAGAACAAGTAATGAACTTTATTCAATGTCTGGTATATTTGTCCAGCTCCAATGCCATCAAGCCAGATGTGAAGACCCTGGACCAACTGGCGATGTTGTACTTCCGCACTGGTCAGATGTCCAAGGCCCAGGAGGTGTATGAGGAGCTGATGGCCCAGTCCCCCAACAACACAGATATCATCATACACTATGTGAGAACACATAAAGATACACACAGATATTATACACTATGTGAGCACATGTGAGATAAACACAGATATCATACATTATGTGAGAACACATAAAGATAAAGAACACATAAAGATAAACACAGATATCATACACTATGTGAGAACACATAAAGATACACACAGATATCATACACTATGTGAGCACATGTGAGATAAACACAGATATCATACATTATGTGAGAACACATAAAGATACACACAGATATCATACATTATGTGAGAACACATAAAGATAAACACAGATATCATACACTATGTGAGAACACATAAAGATAAACACAGATATCATACACTATGTGAGAACACATAAAGATACACACAGATATCATACACTATGTGAGCACATGTGAGATAAACACAGATATCATACATTATGTGAGAACACATAAAGATACACACAGATATCATACATTATGTGAGAACACATAAAGATAAACACAGATATCATACACTATGTGAGAACACATAAAGATAAACACAGATATCATACACTATGTGAGAACACATAAAGATACACACAAATATCATCATACACTATGTGAGAACACATAAAGATACACACAGATATCATCATACACTATGTGAGAACACATAAAGATACACACAGATATCATACATTATGTGAGAACACATAAAGATAAACACAGATATCATACACTATGTGAGAACACATAAAGATAAACACAGATATCATACACTATGTGAGAACACATAAAGATAAACACAGATATCATCATACACTATGTGGGAACACATAAGATAAACACAGATATCATCATACACTATGTGAGAACACATAAAGATACACACAGATATCATACATTATGTGAGCACATGTGATGTAAACACAGATATCATACATTATGTGAGCACATGTGAGATAAACATAGATATCATACATTATGTGAGCACATGTGAGATAAACACAGATATCATACACTATGTGAGCACATGTGAGATAAACATAAATATCATACATTATGTGAGCACATGTGAGATAAACATAGATATCATACATTATGTGAGCACATGTGAGATAAGCAAAGATATCATACACTTTGTGAGCGCATGTGAGATAAACACATATCATACACTATGTGAGCACATGTGAGATAAACATATCATACATTATGTGAGCACATGTGAGATAAACATATCATACACTATGTGAGCACATGTGAGATAAACATATCATACATTATGTGAGCACATGTGAGATAAACAAAGATATCATACACTATGTGAGTACATGTGAGATAAACAAAGATATCATACATTATGTGAGTACATGTGAGATAAACATAGATATCATACATTATGTGAGTACATGTGAGATAAACATAGATATCATACACTATGTGAGCACATGTGAGATAAACATAGATATCATACATTATGTGAGTACATGTGAGATAAACAAAGATATCATACATTATGTGAGCACATGTGAGATAAACAAAGATATCATACACTATGTGAGTACATGTGAGATAAACATAGATATCATACATTATGTGAGTACATGTGAGATAAACTTAGATATCATACACTATGTGAGCACATGTGAGATAAACAGATATCATACATTATGTGAGCACATGTGAGATAAACATAGATATCATACATTATGTGAGCACATGTGAGATAAACAGATATCATACATTATGTGAGTACATGTGAGATAAACATAGATATCATACATTATGTGAGTACATGTGAGATAAACAAAGATGTCATACACTATGTGAGTACATGTGAGATAAACAAAGATATCATACACTATATGAGTACATGTGAGATAAACAAAGATATCATACACTATGTGAGCACATGTGAGATAAACATAGATATCATACACTATGTGAGCACATGTGAGATAAACATAGATATCATACATTATGTGAGCACATGTGAGATAAACATAGATATCATACATTATGTGAGTACATGTGAGATAAACAAAGATATCATACACTGTGAGTACATGTGAGATAAACAGATATCATACACTATGTGAGTACATGTGAGATAAACATAGATATCATACATTATGTGAGCACGTGAGATAAGCAAAGATATCATAAACTATGTTGGTACATGTGAGATAAACACATATCATACACAATGTGAGTACATGTGAGATAAACAAAGATATCATATGCTATGAGAGTACATGTTATATATACACAGATATCACACACTATATATGATATCATTCATACTTGAGATAAGCACAATCAACATATTGTACAGCAATGAATGTTTGGGACTTCCAGAGGGATATCCAGTGTGTTTTGTTTCTCCAGGCTAATGTGCTGATACGGCAGAATGAGTTGAACAAGGCAGAGCTGTATGCAATGCGAGTGCTATCCCATCATCCTTCACACTTGGAAGCACTGCGAGCAGCATCAAACATCGCAGGGCTCAAAAGGAGATACAAAGAGGTACGCATTTAAATATACAACCTGCAAAGCCTTGCTCCTTTTGTGTCTGTCCTTACTTCCTCTCCAGGCAGTGACCCAAGCTGCTCTTCTCTTGTGTCTAACTGTCCTTACTTCCTCTCCAGGCAGTGGCCCAAGCTGCTCTTCTCTTGTATCTAACTCTAGTACTTCCTCTCCAGGTAGTGGCCCAAGCTGCTCTTCTCTTGTGTCTAACTGTCCTTACTTCCTCTCCAGGCTGTGTACTACCTACTTGAGGCAGTGGCCCAAGCTGCTCTTCTCTTGTGTCTAACTGTCCTTACTTCCTCTCCAGGCAGTGTCCTAAGCTGCTCTTCTTGTGTCTAACTCTCAGTACTTCCTCCAGGCAGTGGCCCAAGCTGCTCTTCTCTTGTGCCTAACTGTCCTTACTTCCTCTCCAGGCTGTGTACTACCTACGTGAGGCAGTAGCCCAAGCTGCTCTTCTCTTGTGTCTAACTGTCCTTACTTCCTCTCCAGGCTGTGTACTACCTACGTGAGGCAGTAGCCCAAGCTGCTCTTCTCCAGAAGGACAAAACCTATCGAGCCATGTTGAGCTATGACCTTGGAAACATGTACAAGGATCTGAAGGAGATGGAGCTAGCTGCACAGGTAAACAATGTGACCACTCCTCTTCAACATTAAAATTAAAATAGAGTGAACATTTGTGTTGATCAAACATTTTCACCTTTTTCTCACTCCAGTCTGCTGAATGTTGAACAGTTTCACTGAAGAGTAATTGTCTTTTCAGTATTACGAAGAGACCCTGCAGCTTGATGCCTCCAAGTCCAAGGCTCACCTGAATCTTGGTGCCATATATCACTTGAAGGTGAGTCCACATCTAGCCACAACTAGCATCTATACCTTTGTGAAATGTTAGAATGGTATAGCTACTGTCTTGATCCCACACTGAAACACTTTGGAAACGGACAATATGTACAAACTGAGGTGAAGCTTATGTCCAGCTCCAGGTGAATATGGATTCAAACTCAGACAACTCTTTTATAATGTTCAGTGCCCTTAGGCCTCAGTAGCACATACCAAATCCTTTGTTTCCTTGTACATTCGCTGACAGTCACTTCCCAATTGCACTTCGTGTTTTCATTCGTGTGTCAGTCCTTTTGCATCTGTAACGTTATACAGTAAGGAGCAGTGAAGTAGCACAGTGGATGGTGTCATCAGTAACAAGGGATCAGGTTGATTCTACATATAGACTTTGTCAAGTCTGATGTATTACTGCTGGAACCTAGAGGTGACCTGAAGCTGTACTAACACTGGTGTCATGTCTGTGTGTTCTAGGGCCAGTTTGCCAACGCCCGCCATCACTATGAAGCTGTACTGAAGCTGGACCCTGACGACCAACTGGTGAAACAGAATCTCCTGAAGCTGGGCAGACTGGAGAAACAGCAAGCAGACGTCAACCACACCAAGCGCTGACAAGACTAGGGTTGTAGATACAGGGTTCATGCATTTGAACGTCAGATGTCACAGGGGAACATCCTCCGAAGCATTTGGCTTGGGCTTGATATAGCTGGAGATGTTCCTTGTGCAAGGTACAAGGCGTACCTTTACCTACTGTGGCTGACAGATTCTACAACACAGGTCTGTGACCTCCCGGAGAAGGTCCAACATCCTGAGTGTCTCTGTGTCAGGGTTGTAGACTGGTCCGATGTTTCAGTCAGGAGGCTTGCATGAACTAATGGTATAGAACTTCAGTTTAACAAAGATACTTGTTCAAACAGTTGAATATTCTGGCTAAGTATGATCCAGTTCTTCCGATGACCACCATCTACCACAATGCTAACATCTCCATCTCAACTGATGTCCACACATGCCAGAATGATTGCAAGTCCTCTGTCTGGTTACGCATAGAATGCCACAATGAATAAATCATATAATTTTCTGTTTACATAAGGATGTACAGCATCATTTCATTCACCTCAAGATTCCCTGACCATTATGTAGTGCTACAATCATACATAACTGTATAGATATTATAAGGACCAAAATTAGATACTTGTGTTTCCTGTGTTGTACATCTGTGACAGTGACAGACATATCTGGCCAACTTCCTCACAGTGGGCTGGCAATACTCAACTAGCTACCAAGTCTTCACTGCTGTGTTGCAGCCAAAGGATTCTATCATTCTCAGACTTTCATAATATTTGTTGTTTAGTGAATTTTATTTGAATTTTGATCAGTTTAGAAATTAGGAGACAACTGTTTTCTGCCATTGCTTTGTTAGTTGGTAGATGGGTTTATGTGATAGACGAAGTTTGGAATACCTTTAACAGAATTATATTTTCATGTACTGTACTAAAATGTTGTTGTTATTTTGTAATATTTAATGCCTATGGTGAATCACAGCATGTTTTACTCTACAGAACGTTAACATTCATGTTGTTTCTACAGTGTTACAAATCTTCCATATGCAACAGTCCTTAACTGCTAATGACAGTTTTGTTCTACTTAGGGTACCAATATGTTGTTTGACAAAAAATCATGATTTGATTGATTTCAGACCAAAAATGCCAAAACACTGTATATTGACAATATTGTATATGACACTGTGGCCAGAAACAAGTTGGTAGGAAACCAGTGTGTATGCCTGTGACAACTGCCTATCAAAATCAGAAACATTTATTTAACTTCCCCTTTAAGTACAACACAGACTTGAAGTAAAACCAGAAATTTGAATTTTATAGTGTACAGTTGTGGGCACTGAAAGCCCAGCTGTGTCAGGGGCACCAGCTCTATGATTCCTTGGGGGTAACTAGAACATATCACCATAGTTCATTATGAGATTGTCTTTGATTATATCATATTTTTGTGGGTTTTTCCAAAGTGGAAAAAATCTATGAATTCAGGCTTTCCCCCACAGCATGCCGAGTCACTGTGATATCACTGAACTACTGTTCCAAGCCGTGTTAAACACAACTCTCACACTAACAACAGAAATTTATTGTGCAATCAAAGTAGTCATGCAATATATTTTTCTTTTTCTCTTGCTTGTTTGTGGAATAATTATTCTCATTGTTATTCATTGTCCAAAATATGTCTGAAAACATCCTTATTTTTCTTTTTGTGTGTTTTCTTGAACTTTTCATTGCTATTCATTGTCCAATTTATGTGTGAAAACAGAATGTTTTTGTATTGTTTATTTACATTGATCTAAGGATTAAAGAGCATAATTTCATGATGTTCATTGTTAGAGGTGTGACGATACAGAAATTTCACAATACGATACGTATCGCGATATCTTGGAATGATACGATTTGATTCGATGCATATCATTATATGCTATCTTTAGTTATTTTCTTTCAAAGAGTATATTTTGATAGCAAGTAACAGTGTAAATTTTGACATAACCGTCAATTTCTGGTGAAAATTAATAATTTTAAGGTCAACGATACATATCACGATATGAAAAAAAGTATCGATATATTTATCGTCACAGCTCTATTCATCATGTCCTGTATGAGTGAACTTGTTTCCGTGTATTTAACTGAAGTGCTATGTCAGAATTCAGAACATCAAACCATGAAAGAGTGACACATTGGTGATTTGTGATTAAGAGATGTAGTCAGAAGTAGCTTTTTATATGGAACGAGCAGATGGTCTACAAGGAGGCAGACATATTGGTAAAAAAACATTTCTACTCTCCTCTATCTTAAGAGTTACATAGGACTTTTGGTGCTTGGAGTTATCTCCCCTACAACACATATGAATTAAGTAATTCCAACAGAAGATCCTGCTATGGAGGATGTATGTTGTTTAGGCAGGACAAGTATGAGTACTCGTACTGTTGTTACAGCGACTTTTAACTGTCCTTTTTGTACCCTGAAACAATGGAACTTTGATATTGACATTGACTCCTCTGTGTGTAATTCATTTCCATTTGCTATACTATCAGTGTAGTGTTGATGACTATGAAAATAAAATCTCTTTCACTGATTCACCTATTGCAGTTCAGTGTAGACAGACAATCCTGTTTTATAGCATAATATACCTTGAATTATATCACAGACAATTCAGGTTTGTTCCGTTGTAAATATACATGCCGTTGTGATGAGAAAATATTCATTGTTTAGTGACATATGTTTTAGTTATATTTTTTATATCATAAGTAATCCCATATATCTTCATCTAGGCATTCCTTGTCGTACTCTACAGCATCAGACATTCAGCATTATGTTCTAGAGGGTGTCTGTTACACATGTGATTTACTGGTCAGTATTGGTAGTGTTCCATTGTTTACATATTGTTGATATATCCACCCTCAATCATAGGAAATAAACTGTTATTGTTTTTATTCCGTGTTGAGTTGTAAAGAGAAGATGTGATATTGGCGTTTTGGAGTGTCATGATTCACCCAATATTCCTTTCAGTGATAGACTCAAGGACAAGTGTCGTGATGCCAGTAGTGTAACTCTGAATGGATGTGTGTGATAGATTTGATAGCAAGAGACATGAGGTGTAATTTTATTTATCATATAAACTCATTCTTTCAACATGTTCCATTTATGAACAGTAATAGATTTGTGTAATACAAACAGCAATAACCTTTGTCTAGTAAAGCAGGTAGTGAAACAGCCTTAATAGCAGAGGTATTGTGATGTCATAAGATTGTGATATCATTTTCACAGATGACAACACAATGGTCTACAAAGCACTAAGATGCAATGCCATTGCAACAATGTTTCCAGCCTTAGTTGACATAGAGGTCTATGATCACATTAATCTGTGCATGTATTATAAATGGCAGTTAGAAGTAATATTATTGTACTGATGATACAGCTGAGGTTGGTTAATCCTGTGGTAGTACACAACCGCTCGGAGGTTGCCCTGTACCTCATGCTTGTGTGACTGTACAGATGGTCAGCCTTTTCAGACATCATCATCTTTATTCCAATTTACATACATGGGAATGTATGCCTGTTCTTACAGAAACCAGTGTTTATAAACCTTCTTTGACAGTTATGAAAATAGTTGCCTTTATGATTATGTCAGTTTGGTTTGTTTCATTCAGAGTGTAAGCTATGGCTACAGTAGCAACTGATGTCTCACAGGCCAAGTTTAGAGGGAAGTACAAGTACATTACAAGTGGGATTCAAATGGTTTAAGTTTCCATTCCTACTGTCTGAACAGTAAGTATTATATGACAAGTTGTTTCATCAAGGTCACATTCAAGTAAAGTTTCCCAAACCTTAATATGGTAGAGATATGGAGGAAGTTTCCCAGTTTGACACACACCAGTGACATACGGAATGCCCATACAATTTCCCTCTGTGACTCGTATCATAATATTTGTTCCTGTGCGGGTTTTTTCTGTGAGAACAATTAATTAATTCTTTGGTGTGTTGTAACAGGTGCCAGTGGTGGGGCAAGGTCGTATTTTTACCAAATCACAAGATGAAAATGTATTAAAACGCCAAAGCATTTTTAATGGAAAACGAAAATGAATGGCTTTTTAACATATTAATTTCACCCTTCTTCTAGAAAAGGAATTCTTCCTCTTATGCACTTGGAAACAGATCAGCAAGGATGAGAGCAAAACTGGCTCCCCTTGGGAAGGCTGGGGTAATGATTGGCTTACCAAGCAATTGATTTTGCATTTGTGATTTGATAAACCTAAAGCAATAGGTGCAGCACCCGCACATTGCTGCTTCCTGACAATTGATTAATTGGCTGATAATTGAGCGGATGAATATATACATCATATATGCTTCACAGATACAACTGCATTACGTTTCCAGTGCACGATATTGCATCTCATGTAGAACTGCATCATGTTTTCATTGCACGATAGATGCATCTCATGTAGAACTGCATCACGTTTTCATTGCATGATAGATGAATTTAGTGTGCTGGCTCTAAGCCCTATGAGCAGGGTTCCATTTGCATACCTACCCCAGGTTTTGTTACCCAGGTCTAACAGAGCCAGTCTCAGTGATGAAACCTATGTCAACAGAATCTGAATCCTAGTTGCACCTCAAATATTCCTATTTACATATAATTAACGAACAAATTAAACATGTTCTCATCAAATAATTCGTGAAGGAATTCGTGATATAAAGATTAAAATGTGCACAGTGGTTATGTAGTAAGTGCAGTTTGACAAAAGGCTCCCCTGTGTATCACAGGAGTGCGGTACGTGCGCCCTGATTAAATTACGACAAAAGCAGTTTAGACAATAAACTACAGTTTGGTGCATTATCAGAATTTTGTTTTTTCATAAGCCTCTGTAGTTTCAAGTAACATGCGCGCATGCCCACTACAGAATCCAGGGACCGACTGAGTCGGGTATGTTTGTTTAACTTAGGCCTGTTTAAGTTAGAACCATATCGAGTGAAGCAGACGACATCCACGCGTGCCGGGTCGCCTATACTGCTTTGAACTGGTTTGTAATGGTGAAAGACCTATATCATGTATGGTATTATCCACGATTGTGTCAGAAAATGAGTCTACACACAACATGAATAGAGATATGTGGTCTTGCATATTGCTGCATCGCAGTCAGTCTATCTAGTCGCTGTCGGGGACGACCATCTGTAGAGTTCGTCCATCAGCTATGTTGAACTACATCCTTTACAACTGTTACAAGTATTTTGATTCCCAAAAATCTGTTCATATTTGTTATAGCAAGTATTTACTTCACTATTCTATTTCAATCACATTAGAAATATTGAACACCGTAGTGAGTGAGTTCAGTTTTACGCCGCACTCAGCAATATTCCAGCTATATGGCGGAGGTGTTTAAATAATCGAGTCTGGCCCAGACAATCCAGTGATCAACATCATGAACATCGAGCTACGCAATTGGGATAGGATTATATTTGTCAACCAAGTCAACGATCCCGTTTTTCGCCTCTTCCGACAAGCATGGGTAAATTCTTTACGGGTCATTTTTAACACAGTAAAGGGCATTAAAACGTTTAGTCATGCAAGCTACACACTCTCATATATTTACTTATGAGATAGGCATGTACTAGGTCTACACACTCTGCATACAGACTCACCTGTAGTTTCTATACTATCTAATTCTAACTATACTGAATATACCTCACTCACAAGTCTTGATACGCTTGAAAGTATTACAGTGCATATTCGTTATTTCCCTTAAAGTAGTCAGTGCATTAGCTGATTATATACTGAAGGGAAAAAAAATAAAGGATCGCATCTACCGGTATCTTTGAGAATGATATCTAAATGATTTAATTTGATTGGATGTATGCCCAGACGTTGCCAGACAGTTTCGAGAGCACGTGGGGGACATACTCGATACTGACTTTCTTTATTTAAACTGAAAACAATCAATCAAACGTTATGTTTGACGTGATTAAAATCTCAAATTTTATGCGATCCATTATTGTTTTTTCTCAAAATAAAATATTCTCATGAAAAAATATCGGCAGAAATGAGATAATTCGTCTTCTAATACATAATCATGAAGTCATCACAATCTACACGTTCATGTGCATGCAGGGCGTACAATTTGGATGCTTGCTTGCTTGTTTGGGGCGTGAAACTAGCACTGGTGAGTTTTTTAATGTGACAACCGCGCTTTGACTGTTTAGGTAAATTTAACCGTCTAGTCAGTGTCACGGCTAACTGACACACGCACCTTGATCCGTATGTGACATAACGAAGTCATGGGTATCAAGATGAATTCAACCGCCATGTCACAGCCGAAAAGGCTTTCAAATCTCTGGAAACAAGCGTTCTGGTCGCCAAAACAAACTTTACTTTGCGGAAGAATCGTAAGAATCTAAACGCAATCGAATGCATCCGTGACCAACTCGTGTTATTCGGGGACACGCCGCACCAAATAGCTGTGTCGGGGAAAAGGGGCGAGTGGTGACGAATGAATCGAATGCGTTTGCGCGCTGTTCCCATACATTGCATGGGTGGAGCGTTTCATGTCTAAGACTCGATTTGTTTAAAAACAACATTGTACAGGCTGTAATACTGCTGAAACAAATGTATACTCATGATATTGTCACTACTGTACTGTCGACTCTGCTTTTAGCAGAGGTTTCTTAGGGATGTGGAAAGGGTCTTGTCGCTTCTATTTGTCATCATATGCGGGCCTTAATGTTAGGATTTTATGAACGCTTCTCACAATGTCACAGTCGGTACTGTCTTCTGTGACTGCCCTAGTGGGGAGCTGTTAATTTTAGTCATGCTTACCAATGATACGTGTTGACCTGATGTTTGTGTAAATAATTTTACGTTTGTTTGCTGGGATACTTTCAATAGATAACTGAAGCATTCAAACCATGCTAACGTTATGGTTGGAGGAGTGCGTGGTTTGGACTGACTGACTGACTGAGTTTGGTTTTACGCCGCTTTTAGCAATATTCCAGCAACATCACGACGGGGGACACCAGAAATGGGCTTCACACATTGTGCCCATGTGGGGATTCGAACCCGGGTCTTTGGCGTGACGAGCCAACGCTTTAACCATTAGGCTACCCCACCGCCCCGCGTGGTTTGGAAATTCCATCCTTGCGTTACATCCAGAGTTACGATAATAATCTGAATGAATCTAGGATTCGAACCCATAATCACTGGGCCATCGGTGTACTAAAGGGGTTATCAACTTGTGCAAGTCTGTTTCTATTATACCCAAGGTGTTGTTTTTCAATAAGGCCCAATGCGCTAAGCAAACCCAAGATCATAACAGATCCGGGATTCGCACTCGTGATGAGCAGCATCCAGGCCCTGTCAGTGTAACAGGTTGTCACGCACCTCGATGTGGAACTTGATCAGTCGTAGCTGGAGGCTGCAAATTTGCGTTTTATGCTGACTGACTGAGTTTGGTTTTACGCCGCTTTTAGCAATATTCCAGCAACATCACGGCGGGGAACACCAGAAATGGGCTTCACACATTGTACCCATGTGGGGATTCGAACCCGAGTCCTCGGCGTGACGAGCCAACGCTTTAACCACTAGGCTACCCCACCGCCCCTTGCGTTTTATGAGGACAAACTATTTGCTGTCGGTGCCGACATGAACTGCCGCAGCAAAAATGTTATATATGTTTTAACATGTGTGGGATGTGGTGAGCATTATATTGGAGAAACTGGAATACAACTCAGGGGCGTAGGAACGGTTTTCAGAGCGGGGGGTGGGAGTGGGGTGGGGGCTAATTTATGAAAAGTATTGAAAATCAAAACGAAATTGTAGTTATGGTAAGGTAGATATAGTTTCGTCTTGAAAAAACTTTGCCCCTGCAACTAAAGGACCGAGTCACTGTACGCAGACAGCAAATTCGAGATCCTAATGTGCGATGTATAAATGTAAGCAAACACATTGATGAATGCGGGAATGGCCAGTTTACTATCTTTCCGTTTTATCAATTGTTTAGGAATGATAGACAATTACAGATGGAAAAAAGAAAAACGTGCAAATATCGTGCATGTGAACAGCTGCGTTTTGGTATAAAGTTTTGTAAATGATTCGCACTGAGTTTCTTCATTTATTGAACTCATGACAATGATCTTTCAACGTTACGAATTTGTTTTACAATACATCAGTTCATGTGTAAACAGTACTTTTAATCAGTGTGGAATATTTTTCAAAATCTAGTTTAGAATAGTTGACAGAAGTGAGTGGTTACATTTACAGTAGTGAGTCTAAACTTGTGATGGGTAGTATATATTTAGCTACATTTACACTAGTGAGTCTAAACTTGTGATGGGTAGTATATATTTAGCTACATTTACACTAGTGAGTCTAAACTTGTGATGGGTAGTATATATTTAGCTACATTTACACTAGTGAGTCTAAACTTGTGATGGGTAGTATATATTTAGCTACATTTACACTAGTGAGTCTAAACTTGTGATGGGTAGTGTTGATGCAAGAACTACAAATCCGACAAAATCTCACACCATTTAACAAAGTTTATTCACTAGAGCATATTCGTCATGTTCATTTATGAACGTTGT